TCTCACCCTGCAGAGTGCACTGAGGACAACCCCTGTGAGGGCCTGAGCCGGCACGCCACCTTCTCCAACTTCGGCATGGCCTTCCTCACGCTGTTCCGCGTGTCCACGGGGGACAACTGGAACGGGATCATGAAGGTACCAGCCCGAGCCAGGCTGGCGGCGAGGGGGGGTCGGCCTGCGCCCTCCTGCAGCTGCCCTTCGCCCACAGGACACGCTGCGCGAGTGCGTCCGGGAAGACAAGCACTGCCTCACCTACCTGCCCGCCATCTCGCCCATCTACTTCGTCACCTTCGTGCTGGTGGCCCAGTTCGTGCTGGTCAACGTGGTCGTGGCCGTGCTCATGAAGCACCTGGAGGAGAGCAACAAGGAGGCCCGTGAGGACGCCGAGCTGGACGCGGAGCTCGAGCTGGAGATGGCGCAGGGGCCGCCCGCGGGTCCCAGGCCCGTAGCCCCGCAGAGCCCGGGCACCGGCCCTGACGCCCCCAACCCCCTGGTGGCTCGAAAGGTGTCTGTGTCCAGGATGCTCTCTCTGCCCAATGACAGCTACATGTTCCGGCCCGTAGCGCCTGCCTCGGCCCCTCACCCCCACCCGCTGCAGGAGGTGGAAATGGAGACCTACGTGGGCACCACCTCTGGTAAGACCCCCAGAGACAGCTGGAGAAATTGGGCAGGTGGAGGCATAGACAGCAGGACTCGGGCGGGTCGGGGGGCTCAGGGCTGGTGACAGCTGCCTGCTTTAGACACCCTCCTGCCCTAGGCTTGACCTCCGTGGAGCACGTGCCACCTGTGGAGTCCTGCGCCTCTCTCCAGGCCTTGCCAACTGCGTCCTCCCCTGCCAAGGGCAACAGCACCCTCCTCACCCTGCCCCCTCGGGGCACGGCCCACTCCCCCAGCTTTAGCCGCCTACTCTGCAGACAGGTAGGACCTCCCCGCCCCAACTCCTGCACAGCCTGAGGGGGCCCCTCTCCCCATTGAAGGACGAGTGACAGGCCTGGGAAGGGGGTGCTTTATCCCTAGAGCTCGTGATGACAGAGTTCCCAGCCACCAGGACCACATCCTCTCCTTGGACAGCAGCCTCTGTGCCCCCCCACACCCTGCAGTGGTCCCTGTGGGCCTCAGGGACCCACAGACCACCTTTCAAGCCTCAGGGTGCCACGCTGGGCTGGTGGTGCACAAGGTTGCCTCGGCCCAGCTCTGTGCCCAGCAGGGTTTCCAGGGCCCATGACAGGCTCTCCCTACAGGCTGCAGCCCTCTGCTCCTCACGGCCCCTCCCCTCGTGACAGGCATGGGTGGTTGGCACCCGCATACAGAGTGGTCTCCGGGGTGGCACGGGTGAGGCTGGAGGACAGTGACACACACGCCAGGAGCTCTCGGGCCCAGCTCACCCTGGATCCCCACCTCGGGTGTCGGAGCCTACTCTGCCCAGGTGGGGAGGAGTCTGCGCCCCTGGCTGCTGGCGGGGCTCTGCCTGGTCTCACCCGACCCCATGCCCTTGCAGGAGGCCCTGCACACCAACTCCCTGGAAGCCCAGGCTGACGGCCCTGCGGACTGCGGCCTGGACTCGGGGGAGCCTGATGGGAAGACCCCCACCCCCATGCCCGTGCAGGAGGCCCTGCACACCAACTCCCTGGAAGCCCAGGCTGAAGGCCCTGCGGACTGCGGCCTGGACTCGGGGGAGCCTGATGGGAAGACCCCCACCGGACAGGCGTCCCTGGGGGACTCCCTGCGGTCCCCGCCCCGCTCCCCGAGGCCCGCCAGCATCCGAGCCCGAAAGCACACTCTCGGACAGAGCTGCATCTCCAGCCAGCTGCAGGCCCCAGCCGGGGAGGTGGCGGAGGCCCCAGACCCAGCCGACGAGGAGGTCAGCCACATCACCAGCTCAGCCCGAAGCCCCTCGCCCGAAGCCCACAGGGTGGTGGCTGGCAAGCCGGACCTGGGCAGGCTCTATGGTGTGGACGCCCAGGGCCTTCTGGACCAGCCCGGCCGGGCAGACCCGCACCGGCGGCCCTCAGTGGAGCAGGGTGGAGGGGACAGCTGCTCTGAGCCTGGAGAGGTGAAGGCCCCGGCCCTGGAGGCTGAGCCGGCGCTGGGGTCGCGCAGGAAGAAGAAGATGAGCCCCCCCGTGCATCTCCATAGACCCCCCCGTGGAGGACGAGGGTGCAGCCTGGCCCCCTGCAGCAGAGGGTGGCAGTACCACCCTGCGGCGGAGAACCCCGTCCTGCGAGCCCATGGAGGGCTTGGGGGTGGACCCTACCAGCAAGGGGGAGCGCTGGGGCCAGGTTCCCTGCCGTGCAGAGCACCTGACCATCCCCAGCTTTGCCTTCGAGCCGTTGGACATGGGGTGCCCCAGCGGGGACCTGTTCTCGGACAGTGGTCACAGGGTGGCCCCAGAACCCAGAGCTTCCTCAGGGGTCACAGCACCTGCCGAACCTCACAAAACAGAGTCTCCCATCCCCTCCAGCGACCCCCCAGAGAAGGGATGGGGGCTGTACCTCAACGTCCCCGAGAGCCCTCCAAAGAAAGCAGGGTCCCCCCCAGCCAGTCCCACACCTGGTGACAGTGCGGATGAGCCTGTGTAGCTGGGGACACGATACCACACAGGCTTGGCACTGGGGTTGGGTATCCAGTGGGGTGGTGGCCCCAGGCAGGGCCATGCATGGACCCCAGCTCGGGCCCTACGCCGGGCAGAGGAGCCGGGAGGACATCGGCCCAGGGAGAGGGAGGCAGGCGCTGTTCTGGGTGAAAGGAGTTAGGTTAGCTCCTCAGACTGGGAGCCTTTCTGTTCAGGTTTGGTTTTCACGCGTTTGGCCGCTGTGGTCAGACTGCTGGCAGCCTGGTCAGCAGTCCCTTCACGAGAGAGGACCAGGGACAAGGACCAGAAAGCAACCAAAAGGAAAAGGTAGAGGCTGCCCGGCAGAGTCCCGTCCTCACATCCACTTACTTTTATAGGGAGCTCACGCTTGGGGCCATTGTGCCCTCGCGGGTGGCAGCTCAGTCACCGGGGCCCCCGCAGCCGTGCCTCACCATCACTCACAGTCTGAGCTCCTGTCCGTTTGTCCCGACTTCTGCCATCGCTGTCTCTCCACCTGCCCCTCCTGGACCCCTCCCCACCATTCTGTCCAGAAAACACCTGTGGACTGGTCTCTGAAACGCCGGATCGCCAGGGAATGGGAGCCAAGACCCCGAGGCCAGCACCTCCAACGGCCACCCTGGGGTCTGAGCAGAGCTGTGCCCACGGATGCCCCTTTGTTTCATTTTGTTTCTCTTATAAATTCAGGTTAAAGTTGCAATAATCCGATGCAGAAATTCAGCTTCTGAAGTTGAGGGCATGGGGGGCAGAGCAAAACAGAATAAACGTTAACTTATTTAAGGAACAAGAGGGCGACCGGCAGAATCTAAGTCCCGCGCGAGGGTGGGCGTCTGGACGGTGACTGCCACCCCAGCAGAGTGGCAGGGTCCTCCCCGAGAACCTGCGGCTGGTGGCCCATGCTTCCCCCACTCGGGCAGTTCGTCGGGAAAAGCTGAGATCGTAGCAGCCGGGCACAGGGCATTCACACGCTGGAGAGGCTGCATCTGACAACGTAGGGAGAAGTTGTTGCCAGAGCTTCTGACGGGGGTGGGTGCTGTGGGGGTTCCCCACGGGGAGAGCTTTCCAGCGGGGCAGTCGGCTTAGGGCTGCAGAAGGCACCCACTCTCGTTATCTCCCTGCGCTGAAGTCTTTGACCCCCTAGCCCTGACCCTTGACCTTGCCCCATGTCCTGCTGGCCTCTTGGACCAGGGCTTGTCTGCAGCCCCATGATCCCTTGTTCTCAAAGCCTGATCTTGGGGATCTCTCAGGACAGTCCCAGCTCAAGGCCAGAAACGTCTGAAACCCCAGGACTGGAGTCTCACCAACCCACCCTCCCCACTGTCCCTGTCCCACCTCCATCTTGCAGTCCCGTGATCTCCACCACAGATCTAACGGACAGAGCATGGGGGCACCCGTATCTAACCATCTTGTCTGGCCAGGGCCTGAGGACTGAGCTGATGGGGGCCTCTGGGAGGGACTGCACTCTCCCACTCCCAGCTCCAAGTCACAGGCCTGGGTTGTAGGTGCCTCTGTGTCACTGATCCACCTTTTGGCTTCTCGGGCACAGATGTCTCCTTCCAGCACCCGGCCTGGAGATGTGGTTCGAAGGTGCCCGTGCCACATTGCCCTGACGATGGACAGGGACGGTCGTGGCACCATCTCTGAGTGACGACTGCATTGAACCCATCACAGGAACGGACCTGGAAGGGTGCCCTGGACGAAGGGGGAACTGCCCTCTGGCCTGCACGCCCAGCCTCTGAGGGCCTGATGTCACCCAGTGTGTGGGTTGGGGGCCGGGTCTAGAAAACCCAGGTTTTCTGTGCTGCCCAGACCCCCAGTGACTTCCCTGGTCCCCACAGGATGAGCCTTCAGGGCCCTCATCTATTTTAGCTCATTTGCCTCCAGCATTGAGACCCCACTCATTCCACCAGCACCCATGCATGGTTTCCTACAGCACCCACACCCCCAGGACTCCAATCACCATGGGTGTGGTCCCCCCGATGACTGACAGGACTCCTCTCTGTGCCCATTTTCCAGGAGGGGTGGCATACCCCAGAGTGCCACCCTCGCCTGGACCTGGGGTGCGGGTCACCAGCAGCCAGTGAACATGGCCCAGCATGGGGGCCCCCTCAGGAGGACCCATGTGGACACACAGGAAGCGCTGTCCCCTCCCCCCCCCCGCAGCCCCCTTGGCCCAAAAGAAGGCCCGATGGACCTTCCCTGATAAGCCAACACTCACTTTATCTGTCACTGCCTCTGGCTTAGCTCCTCCAGATCCCAGGGCCAGATAAGGGAAGCTGGTGCCTGGCCTCCTCCCTACTCCCCCAGTGTGGGGGTCTCAGCCCCAGGCCCCGCCCACGTGCCTTTCCTTCCTCACACCCCCCACCAGAGGAGCCCCTGTCCCTCCCTGTCCCCAGCACAGCCCGCACAGAGAAAAGTGTAAATGCGCTTGTGCAAGGTGTGCGATCCAGGCAGGGGCAGCCCCTAGAGTGTGGGGCGGAGGGAGGGAGGGAGGGGGCAGTGGCCGGCCCATCCCTGCCTTCACACCGAGGAAGGACAGTATCTGGCTGCAATAAGATGATGAAGGATGAAAGGAAATGAGGGGGTGAGCGCTCCCCACCACGGTGTCCACAGCGGGGAGGCCCAGTGTGAGTGGGCAGAAGCCCTCCCACGCAGACCGGCCAAGTCAGCGCCGTGGGCAGGGAGCTCCGTCATGGGAAGCTGTGCCCAGGAGACCAGCTGAACGCACAGCAGCCGGATGCACAAAACCAGCCGCCCCGGGGCCTGAGCGGTGACAGGAAGCTCGCTCGGTGGCCGCACATCCCAGAGGTGGAAGCATTGGCCGTGGGCCTGACACGGGCCCGTCTGTTCCAGGCCACGCCTGTCCCCTCTCCTGCCAAGGGGGCGCCAGTGTGAAAGGGGTTCCCACACCAAAACCCATAAAATGCTGGTTACAACTCAGTGAGATGCACCCCCCCAGAATGGGGCGTTGGAAGGGGACAGGCCTGGCCCCATGGCTGTGGGGGGGCATCTGACTCCCAGGAAATGGAGGTGCTCAGACCTCAGGCCCGGCTCCCTCGCTGGCACAGGCACAGACATGCGGGATGTGCGCACAGGGACAGCCGCCCTGGTCCTGAGACCCTGACCGGGCTCCTCTGTCCCCTGCAGCAGCCTGGACTCAGGCTCCCTGGGAGCTGACCCGCTGACGGTGAGAAACGGTGTCCTCCCCACACGCAGCCGCGGGAGGACAGCCCCATGTGGTGTTGGGTGTGACGGAGGCTCCAGCCTCACTCCATCGCCTGCACCTGTGACACTCAGGCAGCCGCACGGCGTCCACATGTGCTAGCTCAGTGCGGCCTGAGAGCTGAGGACGGTGCTGGGGG